AAATGAGCACTCTCTCCAATTGTTCCACCAGCTATCCATCCTCACCTTCTCCAGCTGTGAAATGTTTTCTATATCTTTGTACCCCACTAAAGAGGATCTACCTACATCTTCTGCATGGTCTACTCTCTCCAATATTTCCCCACTCCTGTCTAGCCTTCATTCAGCCATGAAAGTGACCTTCCTAAAGTGTAGATCTTACCACATCACCCCCTTCCTCAGTACTCTCCAATGGCTCTCTGTCACCTTCAAGATCAAATACAAAATCCTCTCTCTGCTATTCAAAGCCCTTCATACCCCAGCCTATCTCAACCTTTCCAGAATTCTTAAACCTTACTCCCTGCCACATACGCATTGATATACTGACTGATCTCCTTGCCAATCATCTAAAAAGTCTCAGTCTTTTGGCTCTAGGAAATTGCTGTGGCTCCTCTCCATGTGGTGGAACTTTCATGGCTACCTTCTTTCTTTATGGCTTCCTTTATATGCTAACTAAAACCCTATCTTCCACCAGAACCCTTTACAAATCTCTCTGAATTCTAGTACTTTTCCCTTGTTAATTATTTACCATGTATATAGATACAGTGTAAATATGTGCATGTTTGCTGGCTCCCACAGTAGATTGTGAGCTCCTTGAGGACAGACACTGTATTTTGTCTCAAAAGAGACAAATATATCCCCAATATTAAGCACAGTGCCTGGCACATAGTAGCTGCTTAACAATTTTTTTTTGTCTTACAATATGACTGAGTGCTAGAAATCATCTTCTTTTATGTTCTCTAGGTACCAGTGCAGGTCTCTAATGGTCCATCTGAAATATGTCACTTTGAATATATTTCTGGCCCATTTCCTTTTTTGATCATTTGTCAAGAATGATCCATTTTCTGTTTTACTTACTCCTCCCATGCTGCCACTTTACATCTCCTTCCCTATCCTTAAGACCTTTTTTATTTCTCTATTAAATGAAAACCAAAAAAAATTAACATCATTTTTAATTGATTTCCAAATTCACCTCCACCCCAGAGAGACCTTTCCTGCAGACCTCCTAAGTTTTCTTGGGCTGGAAATCATCTCACCTGAACTTTTATCAATTCTGCAGCTCTTTAATTGTACTTGAGATGGTGTTTTAGAGTTTTTAGGAGCAGAATCTGGGAGATATTAGTGGAGTGCTTCATTAATCCGCCATCTTGGATCTGCCTCCCCTTCAGATCATTAAGGGCAGAGATTATGCCACTGTTCATCCTTGTATCTTCCAGATCATGTGACAGAATTCCTTGCATATAGCCAGTGGGAGAATAGAATAGACCAAAACAGAATCAAGACATTTAATGAAGTAATTTCAATTAAAGACAATACTTGTTGATTTTTTTGTCATTTGCCTATATCTAGGTTGTGTAATCATTAATAAATATTTTCCTAATTAAGTCAAATTCAATGCAATTAAATTGTTGTTTTGACATCTCAAAAATTACTGTTTCTTTTGACCCTGGGTTTTTGTATTTCCTGACAATGCTGAAATGGATGTTGGTGCACAGAGTCAAGGAGAATTCCCAAATGACTTTAGCATAGTTTGAGGACACTCTTCTCTTATGTTGACTTCCCCATCAAAAGGTTCTGGGAAGGGTTAATTGGTCTTTGTGATTGGGTCCTGTTTGGTACCATAGCATTTTCTGCCTTTGCACACATTTCCTATTTATAATTAAATAATGAGATTGTAGAATCTGATCCCATGATTTTACACTTGCCAGTTAGATACACTTTGTATTACAAAATGATTCCTTTAGAGCTAGCTCTTAAAAGAGTGGGAAGAATTCTTGAGCCCAAATGTCTCTTACCGGCTCTGTCAATTTACACAAACCAACTACTCCCTTCTTTGTAAAGGGGGATGAAAAACTTGAGTAATATAAAAGTTTTTTTTTTCCTTTCTTTTTTTATCACAACCTTCTCTTATTGCATCACTTTGAAACACTCAGAACCATTATTTACCTTTGGGAATTTCATTAGCTCCATTAAAACCAAGATAATGAACTTCAATAAATTTTCTTCGGGGATTACAAGGAAATTATGCTCTCAAAAGTGGACCCATAGGACTGGGAGATTCTAGGTTATATGACCCAAAATTTAACAGAAACTCACTAGGGCTCAGGCCTCAAAGGCCAAAGACAAGGATGTAAAATCCAGACAACAGGCCCCAGACTTTGCTTCCAGACAAAAGAATTTTGAGACTCATCCATCCAGCAGGTAAGGAGATGTTCTTTCATCTCTTTTTCCATGGATCAATGAAAAATGTTACTTTTGTTATTTCAAATATCGAGGAACTTCATGCATTCACCCATCTTTCCATCCATTCCAAAGCGTTCATTAATTGAATTTCATGTATGTGTAAAATATTTTATTAGGTGTGGGGAAAACAATGATTAAAAATGATGGAGCCCCTTCTAGGAAAGAAAATACTCCATTTAGCAATGGAGTAATCTAGATAAAGTATTATAGGGGAACCTAATGATAAAAAGACCACTCATAGATGACAGTGGAGTATTAATTACAATGAAGAAGAGGCAGCTAGGTGGCACAGTGGATAGAGTATTGGCCCTGAAGTCTGGAGGACCTGAATTCAAATCCGGCCTCAGACCAAACACTTGACACTTACTAGCTGTGTAAGTCATTTAACCCCAATTGCTTAAAAAAAATGTAAGAAATTACAATGAGGATAAAAAAATGTTACATATCATATTACCCTGAAATATGTGTATTTATCAAAGGCTACATAAAACTTGGGCTTTACCTTGAATCCAGTGAAACATGTTTTTCCAAGCCGAGTGAAAGCTCTATATGAATATAGGCATTCGGGACAGGTTAATTGCAGGTTTGAGAATAGCATTATTGGAACTAAAAAAGAAAATATTATATTTTAAGTAGTGACATGAAGAAAGGCTAGAAAGGTGTATTGGAGCCAGGTTATAGAGGACCTTGAATGTTAGGTTAAGATATTTACATTTCATTTTATAGACAATAGGGAGGCACGGAAGGTTTTTTTTTTTTTTAATCAGGACAATGAATCCACTAAGATTGTTTTGGAAGCTGTGTAAAATATAGATTGAATGGGTAATAGAATGGAGGGAGGAAGATCAATTTGGAAGATTTTGCAAAATTTGATGTAAGTAGTGATGAGTGTCCTAACTGGTATGGGAACCAGATGAGTAGAGAGGAGATATGAGAGATATTGTGGAATTGTAAACAGCAAGATGTGACAGATGTGACATGTGTTTTACTGCATGAGATGAAAGAAAGAGAAAAGTCAAAATAAAGAAACAAAAAAATCTAGATTTCAAACCTGGGTGACTAGAAGAGAGGGGCTGACATCAATAGGAATATGCATGTTGCAATTTGTTTGATTGCCAGTGATAAAACACAATTAGTCATGTACTGGTTGATCCTGAAACTAATACTTTATGGTTTCCTATCTTTGATAAAATTCAATTATTCATTATTGATCACAGACCTATCTAATTAGAAGTTTTGAATTTATGTGAATACCTTGGCATAAAGTTAATCAAAAATTAGTAAATTAATGCAATGAATAAGCCAAGTCTAGAAGCTGATGCTTACACCTGTTCCTACCCTTCAAAAATGGGTACAATGCTTGGGAGAATAAAATAAACTCTTTATTGTCCTTATAAAAAAAGAGATCAACACCTGTGATCTCTATGCAGAGGATCAACATCCTGATATCACCTTACAAAGAGTGGGGGAGGAATTTTGGGAAAACAGTGATGGAATTGTGTACTTCCTCCTTCACCCTGCCTTGTGGCCAATAATATGAATTTATTAAATAACTGGCAGGGGTCAGAAGTGTTTCCATGTTATGAACAAAAGTTGATTTTTCAATAGCTTCAAACTTAAGACCTGATATGAACTATTTACTATCAAACTTCCAAGCAGCAGTGCTCAAAAATCAGTTTTTATTTAGTGGCCATACTGGTAAGATCATGGATGCATCAAAGCTTTTAATGTGCTATATCAGAAAAGTTAGGAATATTGTTAATGTTAGATGAAATATAACAGAGAGGTTTTTATTAATTTATTTATAGTTTTCAACATTCAGTTCCATAAGTTTTTAAGTTTTACATTTTTCTCCCTCCCTCCCCACCTCCTTCACCAAGCTGGCAGGCAATCTGATATAGGCTCTACATACACTTTCCTATTAAACATATTTTCACATTACTCATGTTGTAAAGAAGAATTAGAACCAAATAGGAGGAACCACAAGAAAGAAGAAACAAAACAAAACAGAAGAGAGAGAAAATAAAAGAGTAAATTGTATGCTTCAATCTGCATTCAGACTCCATAGTTCTTTCTCTGGATGTGGATAGCATTTTCCATCATGAATTTTGGAGATGTCTTAAATCCTTACATTGCTGAGAAGAACTAAGTCTATCAAAGTTAGTCATCACATAATGGGGCTGTTACCATATACAATGTTCTCCTGCTTCTGCTCACGTTATTCAGCATCAATCCATACATGTCTTTCCAGGTTTTTTCTGAAGTCTGCCTGCTCATCATTTCTTATAGCACAGTACTATTCCATTACATTCTTATACCACAATTTGTTCTGCCGTTTCCCAGCTGATGGGCATCCCCTCAAATTCCAATTCTTTGCCACCACAGAAAGAGCTACTATAAACATGTTGTACATGTAGGTCCTTTTTCCATTTTTATGATCTCTTTGGGATACAGCCCTAGAGGTGGTATTGCTGGGCCAAAGGGCAGAGACATTTTTAATGATAGTTCTGTCCCTGTAGATTCAATTAACCCAAGCATATGCATAGTAGTTTTTTTCTAGAGAAGAAATTATTTCTATATGAAAGTCTAACCCCCAAACATATTTCTTCTCATTTTCTTGTCTCCATAGGTGCAGAAAGAGGGTCCAGAACAATTTTGTCTTTACTCTCCATGCTGTTATGCTCTACAGGATTGAGCCTTCAATTCTTTTTCCATGAGCCATGGTGATCACTGAAAGCAATCAGAGTTCTGTGATCACATTTATGCTCTTAGGATTCACAGATTATCCAGAGCTCAAAGTTTTCCTTTTCCTGGTATTCCTGGCCATGTATATCATTACAGTCATAGGAAATCTTGGCATGATCTTAATCATCAGAATGAACCCCAAATTGCATACCCCCATGTACTATTTCCTTAGCCATCTGTCATTTGTGGATTTCTGTTACTCTTCCATTGTCACACCCAAGCTTTTGGAAAATTTAGTTATGGAAGACAAAAGCATATTTTATTCCAGTTGCATGCTGCAATATTTTTTGTCTTGTACTGCAGTGGTTACAGAGTCCTTCCTACTTGCTGTGATGGCCTATGACCGCTTTGTGGCCATTTGTAATCCCCTTCTCTACACAATTGCCATGTCTCAGAGACTTTGTGCCCTACTGGTGACTGGATCCTATCTCTGGGGCATGTTTGGTCCCTTTGTACTCCTATGCTTTGCCCTACAATTAACATTCTCTGGCTACAAAATCATCAATCACTTTTTCTGTGAATATACTGCTCTCATTTCTGTCTCCTCCTCAGATATCCGTACCCCACACTTACTGCTTTTTGGTTTTGCTACCTTCAATGAGGTAAGTACCCTCATCATCATCCTTGCCTCTTACACCTTTATTTTTGCCACTGTAATAAAGATGAATTCAGCTAGTGGAAGGCATAAAGCTTTCTCCACTTGTGCCTCCCACCTGACAGCCATCATCATCTTCCATGGAACCATCCTTTCTTTGTACTGTGTTCCTAATTCCAAAAACTCAAGGCATACAGTCAAAGTGGCCTCTGTCTTTTATACAGTGGTGAACCCCATGTTGAACCCCCTCATTTACAGCTTGAGGAACAAAGATGTGAAGGAAGCCTTCAAGAAACTGATATACAGAAATGACTTTTCTCATTGATTATGCTTGTATCTGTGTCATTAGATCATTAGAGCTTGGTAGATGAGATATTATCCACTCTTACATTCTTAAATTAACTATGGCTCAGAAAGTGGGAGATAAAACAACAACAACAAAAACAACAACAACAAAAACAACAACAGCAACAACAACACTTGCCCAAAGTCACAAAGTTAGATCATCATAATGAACAACTGAAAGCATTAAACTCCAGACTTTTAATGGAGTGGTTTGTCTAGTATACCTCACTGTTTCTCATTGTATTTCTATACTTGGCAAGTACATTGGCTAAGAATAACTCAGTTGATTCAGCAATTGCTCCAGTTCTCTGTTCCCTGGAACATAATGCCTCTTCTTTTTATATTTATGATACTGACATTGTGTTGCTGATAAGTCACTTTTCCCTGGAATGGCTTTGCTTTGATTACAAGTCTCCTATTGTTTCAAAAAGGAGCTTGATTTAGGGAATGATGCCACAGGATTCTGAAATCCTATCAGCTGCAAAAAATGACCCTGAAACAAACTAATACAAATCAACTTCATATAGACAAATCCAGATTTCATTATGTAGATATTTTAAATGGAATGGAAAATATTTCATTTTCATGTAACTTTAATTTATTTTTTAATTCTAATTAGCAATCATGAATTTTCTTTCCCACCCACACAATCTCACAACTAAAAAGAAAAACAAACACAATACAACAAAATGAACAAAAAATACTTCGTAAAAATATGCCTAGTCATGTGAATCAAAATTTCATATTGTGGAAATATGTTTTGCATGATTTCACATGTTTTCCATCCCAGTAGGTGCAGAAGGTACAGCAGGGGGGAGAGAATTTGGAACTGAATTAAAAAAAAAAGAATGTTAATTTTTTTTAAATGAAAAAAAATCCTATTGGTCATATGCAAAAAAAAATATGTCTCATTCTGCATATTTAATCCATCACTACTCTAGCAGGACATATTTAGCATGTTTCATCACTAATACTCTAGAATTGAAGTTGACCATTTAATTAATTGTTAAGTCTTTCAAATGTTTTTATCTTTACAATTTTTTTTGTATCTTTGCTAATCTGATAGTTATAAAGTAAAATTTTAGGATTACTTTAGATTGTTATTCTAAATATTAGTGATTTAGATAATTTTGTATCATTTCATATGGTTATTGATAGCTTGGATTTATTGCTTTGACAGTTGTCTGTTTACATCATTTGACCATTTATAATTTGGGCAATGGCTCATGTTCTCATATATTTTCATAAAATTTAACATGTTTTGAAAATTATACTCATCAAAGAAAATTAGTGAAAACTGCTTACACCAATTAATTAATTCTATTCTAATTTAACTGTATTTGGTTTTGTTTGTGCAATTCATTTTTAATATGTAATCAACATTTTTTATTATAATTTCTGTGATTCTACATATCACTTATTTTGTAGTGATCTGTCTTCATATCCATAGATCTAAAGTTCACTTTCTTTTTTCCTTAATTTTTTTTTATATATATACTTAATTATTTGTATCTATTAGCCCAGTGCCTGGCTAATAATAGATACTGTATAAATGTTTATTCCTTTCCTCCTTACAAGTCATGTACCCATTTGAAATTTCATAGTGTATGATGTGAAATGTTGGTTTAATTTAATATCTACCAGATTATTTTTCCAATTTTCCCAAGAGTTTTGGTTGAAAAGTGAGTGTTTTCTCCAGCAACTATAGACTTGAATTTTATAGAGTATCAGGATGTTATATTTTTTTTCAAATTTGGTAGAACACATTTGTTCCACTGATTGTCTTTTTCTATATTTTAAATAGTACTAGTTTTAATGATTATTATTCTGTACTATAGTCTAAAACATGATAAAAGTAGGCATAAGAACAACTTCCCCTTAATATCCAAGCAGGTATCAGCTGGAGTCCTACTATGATCTCTTCTTATCATATGCATGTAAGTGCATATTCATGCGTATATGTACACACATACATATAAACATCTACTTTATACATATACCTATATAATATTGTTTACATGGTTAGTCAGGTTGCATGTATCTATATCCATACATATAAGTACACACATATCCATGTGTCCATACATAGGGGCTATGATTGACTGCTATAGGATAAAGATTTAGGGAAGAAAAGGACTTCAGTAATCTTATAGCCTAGCATTCTCTTTCCTTTGATGAAGAAACAGGCAAAGAGCAAGTAAATGATTTGCCAAAGATCACATAGCTAGTAAGTAGTAAATGGTTTAAAAACCTGGGAAGGCTTATGTAAACTGATGCAAAGTAAAATGAACAGAACCAGAACATTGTACATAGTAAGATTAATAGGGTAATGATGATCAACTGTATATGAATTTGGTACTCTGATCAATAAAATGATCCAAGACAATTCCAGAGGACTCTTGATGAAAAATGCTATCCAGTTCATGGGAGAGAACTATTGATCTCTAAATGCAGATTGAAATGCACACACACGCGCGCGCGCACACACACACACACACACATGTTTTTTTTTCTTCTTTTTTGAAATTTGTAAAGATTTTCTAAATGGTTTCACATGTATAATTTGTATCATGATGCTTGCCTTCTCAATGGATGGAGTAGGGACTGGAGGAAAAGAAAGAATGAGGGACTCAATTTTTGTTTAAAAATGTTAAAATACATAAATAATGGATTTTTTTAAAAATTCTTAATTATGAAATATTTGGACTAAGGAGTATGGGAAGAATATGCTGCCATCAGATTTATACAATGGCAGTCTGACACCTGCCAACTTGAACAGTCTAGAGAGTCATGGAAAGTGCTTTTCAATAACCCCAAAGCAATCCAGTTCATTCTTTTCCACCTAAACACATCATTTACTGTATACATAAAATCTAATTCTCATAGACTTTATCATCTATCTATCTATCTATCTATCTATCTATCTATCTATCTATCTATCTATCTATCTATCTATCCATCCATCCATCTGTCCATGTGGACAGATTGAAAACTTCACTGACATAGACTGATATACAGAGAGCAAGAGAGAAATGTATAAATTTGTATATACAAATATATAGAAGAGGTGGCTAGAAAACTCCATGAATAGAGTGCTGAGCCTGGGATCAGGAAGGGCTGAGTTAAAATCTGGCCTCAGGGACAGCTAGGTGGCACAGTGGATAGAGCACCAGCCCTGGAGTGAGGAGGAGCTGAGTTCAAATCGAACTTACTAGCTGTGTGACCTTGGGCAAGTCACTTAACCCTATTGCCTAGCCAAAAATAAAATGGCTTCAGACACTTACTGATCACTTAAATTTTGTTTGCCTTAATCCACTGAAGAAGAAAATGTGAAGCCACTTAAGTACTTTTTCCAAAAAGACCCCATGGACAGTACAGTTTATAGGGTCATGAAGAGACAGACATGATGGAACAATAACAACAACAACATAAGAATGTAAGGAATGAAACAATTCCTATTCATAAGGAGCTTACATTCCACTGGAGGAGAAATAAAGTCATATAAATGCATACAAATATAAAGTTAACAAATATGAATACATTAATAGTATTTGAACACAAGGTAGCCTTAGAGATTATATTGAATGATACAGATATCTTAGAGATCTATTATACATACACACATACATGCAAATATACATACATGCATACATATATATACATATATACACATGATAGGTATATAAATTAGATATAGGTATGTATATATATACATATGTGTGTGTGCATAATTAAGATCAACCTTATGGGCCATCCACCAAATAGAATATCATAATTTGGACTATAGGTATTTTCTATCTTCTTCATTTTTTTTCTATGTCGATGATTAAGCTTTTAACCTGTTATGTGCTTATGTATCTCACTGAGGTCATTTTATGATGTTATAGAACTCAATTTGATCATCACAGAGTCATCTGAAAACAGAAATATATAAAGGACTTCATCATTGATAGAAAACAATTCTTCTACTTCTATTCTGCTACAGAAAATCTCCACAGTATGAGTAAATCCATTTTTAAGTCCATATATTATCTCTCCCTTGACTGTAATAATCAGAATGTGTCACTGTAAGGAAAGATCTCTCTTTGCTTTTTCATGATTTTCATATAACTGTATGAGAGACTTGTCAATGTAAGAAAACATTTGACTTATTTCTCTGTTGAGTCCATCTTTATAAATAATCAATAACCATGGTGATATCTTGTATTCTATAAAACTTTTTAATCAGTGCTAAATATCATTTTAAGTAATTATGTTTACTAATACCTGTTGTTTCCCATATCAAAATTGCTTAAATTATATATTTAATGCATGTCTGGATATTTGCATTGAGATTTTCAAGAAATAAGAAAAAACATATAGGTTATTTCTTATTTGTATCCATTTGATATTTTCCTCAAAAATAATAATAACATTTGTGACTTGTTCAATATTTATTTTAGCTGTCATTTCTACTCCCTTATGTAGCACATGAGAGGCTAATATGTTTAAATCTAAATATGGTGATCTTCATGTCATTAATGTTAAAAATAATTTATCACTGAAAAAGAACAATCTGACAATTCTTTTTTGTACACTATTTGGCCAATTGACCAATATGCAACAATGAAGAATCTGAGTGGTACGTTACTAGCAACTGTAAGAAATAAAACTATGGCTTGATTTTCATTTCAGTTTTTTTTCAGGCTTCAAAAATGTTTCCTATTGCATCCTTCATAAATATTTCAAATTAGGAATAAAAGGATTGAGGAGACATAGAGATAAAGACCATTCCCATATGGAGATGTTGGATGAATGATTTTGGTTTTCCCGATCAACCATATAAGCCAAATCAATGTATTACCTAATGGGTGAAAACCTATTTGAGATGTTTTTTTTTCAAGTTAAACATGTGGATTCACAGGTTAGTATCTTAAACAGGAGGTCTTTTTGACTGTAGTGTTTATGAAAACAATAGACACTGGCATATTGTTTCAAAAG